ATCTCGCTTTGCATGTAATGCGTCTATCTCATATATTGGTTTCACCTTTTGAGTTGCCGTAATGACATAAATGAACATTTGCACGATATTCTAATTTTTCGAGTTTCACCTGTAGAGCTTAAATAATTCAGAATTATATTGCTCACTTCATATAATCCTAAATCAAAGTATATTTATTAATAATAACTTGCTTCATTTAGATCCTCTGTGTAGTTCAGCATCAGTATAACTTAGTAGAAATAATTTTTTCAGTTACTTGAATTCCCAATTATCCAAGTATTCTGGTTAACCACACCTCACAGAGCAGTCCTGGCATCCAGTTCAGTGGGTTCTAACATTAGAGAACAGGAAAGGATTTTTTTTCTCATTTCCTCATTGGGGAAGAGATATTGTAAATCTTTTCAATTTTGTGGGAGAAAATATTGGATACAGTGGATCCATGCCCCCCTTTTCACAACAGTACTGCTTTTGATTCTCACCAAAATGCCATTAGAAGCTCTTGAGAGGGACATTGGCTTTCTTCTGAGGTCAGGAATTCTTAATAATTTAATTGCCCAAGGGATTCCCTTCCAGGGGTTGTAGACTGAAGCCGTAATTAATAAATATGGCTGCAATGCCATTTAGGAATAAAATGTTTTTCAGATATGACTTGATCCCTTACGATGTTTTTTTTATTCCATTTTAAACCTGACATGGTTTTTCCAGAGCTACTTTTGAGGAGCAATTACAAATGTCCTTTATTTGAATTATCTGACATACTTTTTGTTCTCTTTGTTTAAGCCCTTAATTTGCTTACCTGCACACTATTTTGGTACATCAGTTGGTACTAAAAGTCCAAGACCAAACTAATTAATCCATCATGGGTTGGTGTAAGACCTTTACCCAGTAAAGTGGCCATCTTGTTAAAGTTTATAAAAATTCTTAAAATCATATAGAAATAAATGTTGGAAATGTCATGAGGCAGAAGGAACATTCTACCATATATGGTGGACAGGTAAAAAAACCCAAAGTATTGGAAAGACATACAAAGCACCATTCAGAGAATCTTAGGGATCATTATAACAAATGCATACAAAATGTGTTTTAGGAAGAATTGTGCATAGTAATGCATCTAGCAGAAAATTATTTGCAGCAACATATATGTAAGAAGAGGTATGCATGCAGCATAAGCAGAACTCCGGATGAATGTGTGTGTTGATTATTTTTTTTAAGCAAACTAATGTGGAAGCAAGGTGGAACCAATCTGGAGACAGAAAAATACAAAACCAAACAAAATTTATTTCAACGGACAAATGATGCGCACACTTAATTCCTAGCTTGAGTATTGCATCTCTGGTAATTCTACAGGGATATTAAGTGACTGGGCATTTGTATGGAACTGAAGAGCTTTTAAGTTAAAGTAATGTCATTTAAAATCAAAACAAACAGACCTTATGAATAGAAATAGTACAATATTTTGTAGTAGGATTTTAATATTTTTGAGGTAAGGTGGCAAATTTCCATTTTTCATGACCCCTACTTTCAAAAATCATTTGCTAAGGCAAAATGTTCTCTTCTGTGTTGATTTTTTAAAGAGAATGTATGCTGTCCAGTAATATTTAGAATTGTTTGAAGAGGAGTTCCAAACATTGGATAAGTTCCTCATGAGTTTTTCATTAACTCTATTTTCAAATGCATAAAAAGTGACTACCTTCCTTTTGTCTATTTTCTAGCTAACTATAAGACACTTGCAATGCTCCTTTAAAAAGTAGATTAAATCTAAGGGTTGAATATGGGGAGAAGGGCACCATGTTACGTAACTGCTGTAAAGATCAGAAGTCGCTTCCTTAAGGACTTTTTTATTTTCCATTGTTTTCAACATCTTTTTCTTTCTTTCTTCTTTTTTCTTCTATATTGTTTTGTGTTTATCTTTCAACTTTGTAAATCATCTTTAATAAAAATTATATTCAATAAAAAGAAGATTAACTCCGTAACATAAAATCCTAATATTTTTACCTCTTCTTTCTGTGGCAAATATGTGTTTCAAGTGCCTGAAGTAGCTTTTTTACTGAAACCGCAGTTATGATCCTTTAAAAAGATCAGGGTGATAGCCGGAACAATAGTATGAACTTTGAAGTTAATTCTGAGGACTTATATTACAACTACAATATGTAATAGTGGGGCATATCTGTGTGTGTGTGTGTGTGTATATGTGTGCGTGTGTGTGTGTGTGTGTGTGTGTGTGTGTGTGTGTGTGTATATAAGGTTTTTATTTGACAGAGCGCAGAAAGGTATTCAGTATAAACATTTTTAGAATCCATTTTGGGGAAAGTGCTACTTTCCAAGTGCGAATGTGGAATGTAGAGAATATCTCTATATATCTATTTTGGTAAAACTTGTAATTCAATCAGTCAATCAATCAATCAATCAATCAATCAATCAGTTTATTACAGTCATAGACCAGTACAACTAAAAATGCACATAACATGTCTAATTAAAAATCTTAGATATAATAATATCAAGTAAAATCTATATCATAATTATAATTTGGCCGCCTAAATGTCATTTATACATGAAGTCAGATGCCCTATCCTATAGTGTAATTATTACTCCTTAAATTATGATATCCTACAGTTATTGATCGTTCACATAACATGTCTAATTAAAAATCTTAGATATAATAATATCAAGTAAAATCTATATCATAATTATAATTTGGCCGCCTAAATGTCATTTATACATGAA